CAAAGTTGGTGTCCCAGTTCGCAGAGAAGGTCAGCCCGTTGTTAAAGCTGCTTCGCAAGGACGTGCAGTTCGTGTGGACAGCTGAAGCGGATCAAGCCTTTGACCATCTAAAGGCATGCATAGCAGCAGCGCCGACATGTCTACGGCTATCCAATCCTGGTGAGAGGTACACTGTGGCTGTCGACGCAAGCAACGTGGCAATCGGTGCGGTTTTGTCTCAACCGGCTGGGGTGGTGGAGTACGCGAGCAGTGTGCTGACGGGGGCGGAACAGAAGTATTCAACAACGGAGAAAGAATGCTTAGCCATCGTGTGGGCGTTAGAGAAGTGGAGAAATTACTTAATGGCGAATGAATTCCGGGTCGTCACTGACCACAAACCGCTCTCGTGGTTGATGACGGCGAAAGACCCGCGGGGACGGCTTGCGCGATGGGCCTACCGGTTGCAGGAATTCAACTTCATCATTGAGCATGTGGATGGGACGCAGAATGTATTGCCAGATATGTGGTCACGCCCGTGTTTGGACGACATCATGCCCGACAATGCCATACCGGTGCTTGCGTTCGCGATGGGGGAGAGGAACCTGCTGGGAGATCAAAGGACAGATGAATTCGTGAATGTGTTGTGCTCTCACTTACGGGCTGGCACCAAACCGGAGGCTACATCGGAGGAGGTGGAGGAACTCCTCAAGGTCTGGGACAGGTTGAAGGTCGAAAACGATAACGTGGTGGTGGCGATAGACGGACGGAAAGTGCCTTTTGTTCCACCAAATCAGCGAGAACGTGGGATGCGCATAACTCATGATGGCGCCCATATGGGATTCGAGCGGGTCTTTGAATTGCTGCGGAGGCGAGTGTTTTGGCCAACCATGAGGAAGGAGGTCGCGGCATACCTTCGGGAGTGCCCAAACTGCCAAAGAGTCGGGAGTTGGAGTCCCCGAGACCGCCGATGCGATCGATGGAGGTTGGTGAGCCACTTCAGCGTTAGGGACTGGACGTCTTTGGGCTTTTACCAATGAGTCGAAAAGGAAACAGATACATTCCAGTGATGATTGACCACTTCACTCGATGTGTGGAAGCCATACCAATCGAGGACCAAACAGGCGAGACAGTGTCGCAAGTATTCGAATTCAATGTGCCTGCAAGGTATGGGATCCCACAGTGTATCATGACGGACCAAGGGCCCTGCTTCGAGTCAAGAGCGTTTAAGTCAGTGTTGGACAAGTGGGGCATCCAGAGACGGCGAACTTCACCGCACCACCCACAAACCAACGGGATGACCGAGCGGTTCAACCGGACATTGAAGACGTGGATAAACTGCACGAAGTTGGCATGGGAAGATGCTTTGCCTCAGGTTCTGATCGCGTATCGGACCAGCATGCAATCAACCACCAAGGTCTCGCCATTCGAGTTACTGTTCGGCAGAGAACCACGGATTGCGCTCGATACTTGCCTACCGAACCAGGGTGAGTGGAAACATCCAGCTGAGCATCAAGAGCGACTGCGATGGAAAGCTAGAAGCGAAACCAAAGCTCGACAAGCGCGGAATAAGCGAAATTACGATGCCAGGCATGAGGCTCACAAGTGGAGGCCATTCAGGATTGGAGAACGGGTCAAGTTACGGAACAAAGGTCGGCCGGATCATGACGGGCCGGGCGCAAGCAAGTTCAGGGAACGCTGGAAAGGCCCCTACACCATTATCGACCAGAAAGCAGGCAACTTCTTAATCGACTGCGGAGAAATGAAGCGTTCGGTGAATGCTGCTCTACTGCGACCATGGTACGAGAGGAAGCAAGGTCCTGGAGGGTGTAGAGGGGATGCTTCCAAGAATGGCTCTGGGGAGCTCTTCGGAGCTAGCTGAGAGCGGATCGCGAAAGACGGCTAGCGATGAGCCTGGGCCCGGAACTACGGAGCGGGAATATGTGGACAGCGCAATAAATCAGACAAATACGCCGCTAGCGCAGCCCACAGGATCAAGGCCGAGCCGTTTGACACAGCCCAGAACAAGCAAGTCGTGAGCTCTCGAACGACTCCTGGCCGATCCAAATCGGGTACAGAGAAGCGGAGATCGAGGCGAAAACCGGAAGGCGGGACTTCCAAGTCAGAGCTCCCGAGGCGAAAGGACTGGCTCGCCTCTAACATCCGTACCCGTGTTGCGTGGTGGGACGGAAATCTAGTCGATATTCGATGGCGCGCGTGAGACCCGGAAGTGCCCATTTTCGGTGTGCAATAAACGTCTACCCCCCTGTCTTGTCGTTCTCGCTACACTAGGTTGGCTTTGTCATACCTGAGTGATTGTTATCAGGCAGCCACTGGGTGATCCTCGCTCTTCCCCACACTCAATCACCAGTGGGGCCATTTTGTTCTTCATCAATGACATCACCACGTCTGTAAAATATGGTAGATCATTTTTATTTGCTGACGATTACAAACTAGTCTATACATTTCGGCCTGACGAGCTTCACGGGACATTACTGCTCATTCAAGATGACTAACATTCCCTTGAATCATGGTGCTACACATGGGTGATGAAACTCTCGGCAAAGAAATCAAGCATCATATCTTACGGCTGCTGCATCGCCGAAGGATCTATAACTCCAAACAATGAACGCGTCCCTACACAGTTGACTACACAGGATCTTGGCATTAGATACTCGTCTACCTTCAAATCCTCCCAACAAGCCCTATACCAAGTAGCATGTGCCAGACAGTCTATGTTCAATATACCAAACAAAATATACACAACTCGTGCTAGAGTTGAGGTTTCCAAACTACTCGCCTGCCTCATTCTCCAATACTGCAGCACAATATACGGAAATATGAGAAAGAGTGACAGAAGTGTTGTGGAGCACCTGCAGAGCTCATATGCTAAACATCTGATTGATAAACAGTCACGTGTTACACAAAATGACCTATTCCAACCTGCCTACACGCAATTTACAATGTTGCTCAACTCGAGTGCTTCGCAACAAGGATTTTACACTGAATATACCGAAGGCTAGAACGAACGTCCGCCTTAATTTCTTCTTGATCACATATAGCTATCTGTGGAATAAACTACGGAGAACACTCAGATCATGTGACGATGTAGCACCATTTATTAGCAGACTCGCCAATTACCTTGATCTAACTATCCTAAGCTCCATATTTACATGGGAAAAATCCCTCGATGAGCTATTCCAAGACGGGTCCAAAAACATATAAACATCAATGTTTTCATAACTAGGTTTTGGCCTCAACCATCCGCCAGAATGTTAATACATGAAACGCATATCCCAATGCTCCATCTATGCTTGTCACCCATGCAAGAGCATGGATTCTTCTGTACAAATTGATCTGTGCCGCTATAGACACAGTTTCTCTCATCAAATGAAATATACGTATTATTATTATTACATTTCACCAAATCACCTGACAGCAGATAAAAATAATTGTGCAAAATAATGTGGAACGAGCCCGGTATATCTGTTTTAATTACTGTTAGTCCAGACATTAGAAGTTCCGTTAAAGCGAGGTATTAAATATCCAAAGCAATCAGCAACTATTTGCTGCATGTTTATTAGCAAAATGGCTCTAAATATGTTTCTGATAAATCAGTAGAAAAATAGTATATTTTTAAGCCGCTTTTGGAAAATATTTTCGCATTTCCTAACCGAATTTTTCACACTTACTTGGGTCTCCGGGATTACTGCTGTCATCAACTATTTATTTGTTATACAATCAGATTTACTTTATCGGGTTTCGCATGTAGCGTACTGCAGCAATATCTGGAATCGCCTTCGTTGAGGAATATAACGTCACAGTATATTGACTGCATCGAACGTCTTCAACCGTATACAATCTAACACTTTGCTTATCACATTTGTAATAGAAAGCTTTGGCAACTTTCGAGCAGGGCTATTTCCACATGAAATTTGGCCACCCTAATGCAGTACTGTAAAGTTATCGTTTTAAACCATGTTTATATTGTTGAAGTCTGCCCGACTTAAATCTGGTCGAGCAGCAGGCAATCTAAACAACCTGGTTAGAAGGACCAAAATTACAACATAATTGATAAAATACAACCCGCTATGAAAAGCAATAATGCATTTTGGAATTCTGTTTGGAGGTTTATTATGTCCTAACTGTTATTGCTTACTTTCTACGTCCGTGCTTCCGCGCACACAGATTAACCATCGCTGACAGAAGTTGTATGTTAACTAAAGTAGCCAACCACACAGAAAGTAGATATGTTGTTCGTTGTAGACAGGGGCACGTTGCATATAATGATCAGTGATTTATCAAGCATACTTTAAATGTTTCTCATTGTAAATGTCTAAAAGTATGTGGAAGGTGACGTTTGACCATCTCTTGTGCGCCGGCTCCTAATTAGTTAAGTTAGATTATACAAAATACAACCAAACAACCAAGGACTGCAAAGTGCAAAGACGTTATTAATAGACCTAATAAGCAAATGATTAATGGTTGCGCAACTTCTCCTTCAAATCAAAGGAATTAGGGGGAACGCCTATGTTATACCCAATAAATTGTAATCAACATAACTGGTTACAGATCCCAGAATGCTTGTAGACGATTTAATTCTTCCACGGAAGGAGAAATTTCTTTGCTGAGTATTCAATATACTTGCAGGCTCCGACGTGCGTGATGGAGTCGGCATGATTTCTGCATTTTCCGTATATTTATAGATGTATTGGAGCAATGAATAGGCAGTCGGACTTATCTTGGGCTCTAAAGGATAAACAACGGTAATTCAAGGATGGCTACAATAGCAGTGCGAAACAAATCACATTTGCACTCTTTCTGCCTAGATACACATGTGTGCACCCAGATTCTCAGATTACAAAAAAGAATAACATGCATTTTTGATAGTAGGTCGATTAATAGAACTTGCAATTCGGAAACAAAAGGAATTTAAAATAAGACATCTAGGTATCGTCTTTTCGTTTCGCACTCCAAATATTTTTGTCGGAATTCAGTGGAGCTATCCGTAGTGAAAATTCCAAATGAAACCTTGTTTTTTCCATGGGGGGGGGGGGGGGGGGGGGGGGGAAATAAATATATATTTGGGGGGGGGGGGGGGGGGGGGGGGGGGGGGGGGGGGAAGAGGGGGGGGGGGGGGGGGGGATTTGGGGGGGGGGGGGGGGGGGGGGGGGGGGGGGGGGGGGGGGGGGGGGGGTGGGGGGTTGGGGGGGGGGGGGGGGGGGGGGGGGGGGGGGTTGGTTTGGGGGGGGGGGGGGGGGGGTTTTTTTTGGGGGGGGGGGGGGGGGGGGGGTTTTTGTGGTTTGGTGGGGGTGTGGTTTTTTTTGGGGGGGGGGGGGGGGGGGGGGGGGGGGGGGGGGGGGGGGGGGTGGGGTTGTGGGGGTTGGGGGGTTTGGGGGGTGGGGGGGGGGTGGTGGTGTTGGGTTGGTGGGGGTGTTTTGGGTGGGTGTTTTTTGGGGGGGGGGGTGTTTTTTGGTGAGTGGGGTTGGGTATTGGGGGGGTGATGGGTGTGGGGTGGGGTGGGTGGGTATGTAGTGGTGGTGGGGGAGTGGGTATGGGGGGGAGTGGGAGATTGGGGGTGGAGGGGGGGGGGGGGAGAAGTGGGGGGGGGGGGGGGGGGGGTTGGGGATGGGGTGGGATATGATGGTGTGTGGGAGGTGGGGGGGAGGATGGGGGGGGGGTGGAGGAGGGGAGGAGGGTTGGATGGGGAGGGGAGTGGTTGGAGGATGGGGGTAGTGGGAGTAAGGCGTGAGGGGGAGTTTGGAGTTGAGGTAAGGAGGAGGTGGGGTGAAGAGAGAAGTGAGGTGATGGGGGAGGGAGTTGTAAGGGTGGGAAGGAAAGGGTGTGAAGGAGAGAGGGAGTAGGGGTGGTGATGAAAAAGAAGTTTAGGTGAATGAACGATAATAGTAAATTATGGGAAGGGTTGAGAGTATGGAGTGTTTGGGATGGGGGGGGGTAGGTGAAAAGGTTGCACATCCTTTACATCTCATGATCAATAACTTTAACTCTTGACAGACTGCCGATCAGCAAATTGCTACGATACCACTTTTCCGCACGTTGCCACACGTCTTATTGTGTCTTGTGTTTTTCAATACGATTGCAAACCCATTCATAGGTTATCTACTTTCATTAACCTGAGATTGTGAACCATGTTGGCAACAGATACTACTTAACGGCTTCTCCTTTTAACTTACGTAACGGTTGTCTTAACTAGTGTGAAGTTTTCGTCCGGGCTAATGGATTTACTCGCTCCAAGCTTCGCATCGTCACAGTAGATATGAGGCAATCTCTCACCAAGCATAGGAATAAAAACACCTTAAGTTACCTGGAGCAAAAGTAGTTGCTGATTAACTTCATGAAGGTAAATTATGCGAACCACAATCTATCGGCTTTTCTTTAAAATGGTATGTTGCAGCTACATTCCAATTGTAGGCAAATCCGTTTTAGCATCATGTGGCTTACAGAGCACATGGAGTCTGCATAGTTGTGGACCCACTGAAGCAGCTGCTATTTCATTACGCAGATTAGCTACTGCTCCCTTATTTGGAATGTGCATTTTGTCCGCCCTATTGCGAAATATGCCCGGTTACCTATGACACGTTTTCTCCAATTATCTGGCATTTAATCACAAGGCAGAAAGCGGTTAAACATTGTACGCTGTTCTCATGTAGACAGAATATTAAACATCCTAAGTAGCCTTTCTTAGGGAGCTTAAGAATAGGCTGTGATCTATTTAGTAAGAGCAGTCACAATTCAGCCAGTCAAGGTTGGAACACTAAGAACTAAATCCAGTGGTAGTTGGGAATGCCGTTCAATTAATCAGTACCGTGTTTTTCTTAACCCTGTCTAAGTTTAGTTTAACCAGCTTTTTGACTGTTATAATCATCCGAAATGTTAAAGGGTCGAACTTCGATGAGATAGAGGTGTCAGATATATGTGTTGCACCCATCCCTAGTTATCAATCTATGTGCATGAATCAGATTTACTGGAAAGCGAATAGAAAACATTTGACCGGTGTACAATGTTCAATCATAATCACACCAAAAATCAAACAATGTAAACAGGTGAATGCGTTTTCTACTTTTGTGTACGTAATTAATGTGCAAAGGCTCATCAACATATAAAATTCGCTCTCAGTGGTCAGACTGCTATGATTTTCATGAAGACTCGTGTTAGAAGGTGGCGAACAACCAACTTGCCAAACTAATGAAAACCACAATTATCTGAGGCTGTTAGTTCTGCTACCATATTAACGTGATAACAGCTTGCTTTGCTTCGTTTTCACATACCAATGATTGATCAAGTATATAAGAATAAATGGCTTTCAAATTCTTCAATGAACACACGGTCCTCTTTTTCTTCACGAATTGTGGAACGGCATCAATTTAAACGATAACAAACAACTACCATTTGTTTAGATTGATACATGGTAATTGAACTTATAAACTTTGATGATACTCATCGGTATCGCATACATGGCCAATACTACGCGTGTAGCCAGATTGCAGGTTGCTCACTGTTTCTTTGTACCAAACCAATTATGACTCCCCTCCAAACAGCATTATAAAAGAACATTAACCACACCTCACTCGAATGAACATTGAGACTTTTGCGTGTAATTTTGGTGGTTAGTAGGGTACACGGTGGCTGGGAAAGATGAAAATTATGTACGCAATAACAAACTATGGTTGCTTGGCTACTAGGTTTGTATGATATGTAGGCCTTTCAATGGTTAAAGTTCATAATAGTTTCTATAATTCATGTTTGCTTGTTCGAATCATCTATCATGTGCATTTGAAATACTGTCAGAGTCACCATTATTTGATGTTTTTAGATATATTGGAAACCTGTCAAATGATAAAAACAAAATATTTTCCCCATTCTTTAATGTGGCCCAAGTTGCTTTTACCATCATTTCATAAAGTTCAAGTTTATTCTGATGCGTCCATTCGTTATGTTATGTGGACAAATTTACCCACTTGTTGATGTGAAATCAGACATACATCTTGCAAAAACAATATTTCTTGGCCTTTAACAAACGCATTTAAGAGCGAGTGTCTGAGAAACAATAATAAAATGAGTAATTGTTCTTCCAGACCACTTATTGCTAACTGTCATCTGTGATTTAAAAAGACTTCATATCAAATACCGCGCATTTTGGATAGGCTGCCATCATTCATTAGTCTAGTAATGCTTCGGTACCTGTCCTGATTGTACAATAAAGTCTGCTTGTGAAGATTTGATAATAAGATGTCCGAATGGGTATCTCGATACCCACAACTAACTTTCATCTACCTACTTTAGTTTTGTCAACTTCTGCGGCAGTGATAATAGAAAATTTTTCGTCATCGGTGTCATTCTTTGTTGCGCTGTTGAGAGGACAAAATTTTAGCGGCTTTTGATACTACCAGCCGTTTAGTCCCAGCAAAAATCTGCATCCCTTATAGCTAAATGTATGTAGTAAATTAACAGCCAGCTCATGTTGTTACAGTTAGCTATTTAGTTTGAACCTAGGATTAATGCTCCCGGAATAACGGTGGCTTCTACTCTCTGTGGTATTACAGGTCTGGCAGCCATGGCTAAATTGTGATCTCACTGCTTTGGAGATACCCAAACGCCGGGCAACGAAGAATGTCAACGGTCGGTATAATTTGCCTTATGAACGAAGGCTACAATTGCTCGGGGTCTTCAGCGGACGTTATCGGAGATTGTACGGGTACCTCATTTTGAGTTGCCAAATTTCGAGAAAACCCTACCATACATGCTGCTACTTACTATACCAATTCTCAATTGATTGCATCCTTAACGCCATGGCTTTCATTCGTATTGCAGCAGCATGCATCCTTAGCGCAAAAGCAATAATCCGATAGTTACGATATTTCATTCACGACGCCCTCGGCGATTCAGTTGCCCACTCGCCTCGTTTGCTTACTCAAACGCACATTTTGAAACTCTTTTGCTTGCATGCACCACGCACTCGATCAACCTAGGTAGCGCGATCCATTTTTACGGACATGTTCACTGCTACCTTTATGTTCGTCCGGAATTGTGCTGACTTCGACTGACCTTCGCATCCCAGGCCTTGGGTTTTGGAGCCAGCCGTGAGCAAGCTCCTGTTTCCATCCCTTGGTGCTGACGCGTACCTACCTGAAGGCATGGTTTGGATGGGCAAGCGTGATGTATGTTTGAGGCCAGCGGACAGCTGACTCACTGACGGCGTCGTGGATGAATTTGGTGACTATGGGGTAATAGTTTTGCACGCTGCCGCACTACGGATGAAGACCATTGCGTTAAGAATGCAATCAATTGAGAACTGGCATAGAGCTTGGTCAGAACAACAATTTGAGAACCCACCATCTCAAACTGACAGTGCAGAAGTGTCGCTTGGAAGGTCGTCGGAATTTCGTTTCCCTACACATTTGTCGTACGTGAAATGCCCAACCGGAATCTGCTCTATGTGCACCTATGTGCCCCACGCTGTCAGAGTTCAAAGCTAATGGTTGGCCGTGCATTCATTTCACTGCACAATCTCATATGATCCATTAACCATAGTTAAATACAACTGTCTGTAAGCGATTTCACTAGCGGTCAAATCACAGATTTCATTCCAAGTTTTTCAACTCCTCCATGTGTACACCAGAAGGAGACACGATTTTTAGCAACCAATTTGCTGTCACTAGTTAGGAATTTACATCAGATTTACAGCCTATACTACGTGTGCTTCAGTGAGTTCACTGGTGTTAACCCAATTTTGTTAACAATTTATTTATATTTTGAAGTTTTCCCATAACCATCATACGGCATTTGTAAGCCATGTGAATTTTTACCCGTTAAGAGCTATTTTTCTATTCGTCTATTGTTTGAAACTGACTAATAACAAGGTAAAAAACAAGACCAATGGGACCGAGCGTGTGGCAATGTATCAATCCTTCTATTATGCTCTTTACTAGCGCCGTTCGTAAAGTTAGTTTGAGCTGCTATTTCATGTCAGACCATGGCAATGTGGACGTTGGGTAGAAATTCCTGACATAGTCCGCTCATCGTCATCAACTGTTACCATCAGTATTATTCCGTCGCA